AATTTTAAATGTATAGATTTTCCTAAATATATATAGTAAAATCTAAATACACGCGTAACTACTGACTACCCAGCCACGTCCGTATTCTTATTTGGGTGCAGTCACACCATGCCGTCTTCGTGTGGCACACACTCCTGTTACTAGGGTACGTGTAACCCCGTTACACTCTCCCCCATTAAGATTGAAAACTTTTACAGTTCCAATCGATTATTGCCTCTACGAGGCTTGCGTGTTCGCTAGACACTGCAATTTGGTTCTTTGGAACAAAACGACTTATGTGATTAATGAGACCTGTGTCAACGACATTGAAGTCACCAAATCTCGCTGTTTATGACAGCGGACACGGGCAGAGCCCAACTTCGTCTCCCGCACGCGGTCCAATGTCGGACAATGCGTCCGCGGCATCCAGGAATGTAAATCCTAGGCTCGACGAGCCCGAGCGTCGCGTTTCGCGCACGCTATCAGTGACGAGTGGCCTGGTTGAAGATGTTGAGGTGCTCGACTACGAATCCGACACTCTCTTTCCCGGGTAGGATGACGAGAAAGGCGAGCCGCGCCAGCGGCCTAAGACGAGTCCTGCTCGCGCCTTGTGGACCCATGTCCTCTCATCACCTGAGGGACGTGGTGTCATCAACAATAACCTCGATGAGGCACAGAAGCGGCAGCTGGAATCTGCCCGTTAGGCTGCTCTGATGTGCGCCCATCCACGGCCGGTCATTGACCCTCGTGTGGAATACGGTTTCTTTCAGCGGATCCCGCTGTGGAAGCGAAGGACGCGGTAGCTTGACTGTTACGCATCCACGTCATCGAGCCCCCGACCATTATGGAAGATGATCTTGCCGAACGGAAAGCTCTTCGAGCTCGTTTCTTGGTCCCACAAGAATTTTCGTTGGACGCTTATCGCACTCGACTGTGTGCTTAACGAGGTGGCTCTCGTGTATCCGCAATGCGGACAATACCTAAATTGCTCGCCCCTGGAGAAAGTGCTACAGATGACGAAGCGCTCTTTGAGCGGTGGGTGCAACGGCACCGAAACCTTTCCTCAATGTAAAACTAACGGTTGAGCCACAAGGAAGTGGACGTGCGTATGGAGCGACACCTCCGATTTGAGTTTGCCAAACTTGAGGCACGCCGTCGACTTCCTTTAAATTGTCGCCCTGCGACGTATGAGTCAACCCAAACGGTCCCGCGAGCTCTGTGTCTGCGACTGCAAGAGCTCAAGGCCACTGCTTGAGCCTAGCATATGGCCCTTCTACTTCTCTGGCTATTGCCGGGAAGAGCGGGGCGTCCTGATCTTTCTGATCAAAAGCGTCCACGGTGTCTGGGCAATCTTGCCGAAGTGGCGTCTCAAACTTCCACGAGTTTTCGGGGTCGGAATATCGTCGCCACGTCACCAGCTAGTGGGTTTGACCCTGGTGACGACGTCGTTTCTCTAGACGTTCCACGTGGAAGTAGACGTCACCGTTCTCATTGAAAAGAGTTCGTGGCGGGCGGTGCCGACCGTGTCGACCGCCGTCCGGAGACTCTAGATGCTCTTCGAGCCCTTGAGGACGAGGTCCTACGTGATCGGAGCGCCGCTGAGCGTCACGCTGAAGTAGGATATCTCTGTGCAGACGCTCTTGAGGATTTAAAGCACGTCATGTGCCGGCTGCCTCGCTTTGATGGCTACCACTCTCTGCCGGAGCGACTTCAAGCCGTGGAGCAGGCGAATGCGTCGCAGCATGCGACGGTGGAGCGCTTGGCGCAATTGGAAATGGAGGTTGTGCACTCCGTGCAAAGAACCAGTTGCTGGTTCAGGTTCTGGGTGGTCAAGGGCCCGTTGGGATCTGCTCTGGCGCCAACGCTTCCGCGTTCACTTGCGCCGATTCCGGGTACGGCTTGAGGATGCGCGCGTAAAACACCGAGTGGGTACGCATCCGTTTGGGAAGGTTTAGCGAATACGCTAGGTCTCGCTTGGTCACAAACTTAAACGGTCCAAAAAACCATGGACGAAGCTTTGTCCGGAACATAGCAGAGGCAGCAGTTTAATAAAACCAGGTGTCCGACCTTGAAGCTTTTG